TTTTTTTTGTAATTATTAACTCTCTACATTAGCAGAAATGCAGTATATAAGTATGCCATTATTAATGAAGGCTTTTTTTAGACAGACAACTTAAGACACAAACTAAAAGTTTATTGTTGTTGTTGCCCTATGTCTTCCTCTGAAGAAAAATCGTGTTGACTTTCTTCTGAAGTTCTGCATGAAAAGTGGTGATTTTATGCTCAGTGATTCAATTCTTATCACCAAATCCAATAACGGGGGGGAGTCTTATCTTGTTATCACAGTTACTTTTAGCTGGTGTGCAAAACCGGCACAAATTCAAAGTAAGTCTTTCAGGAAAATCTGCTGATACATGTTGTTCTTATAATAAACAGAAACGTTGAAATGTCTTTCAAACTTCATCAATATGTAATCAAAGATTAGTCAGTCACATGTGTTTAAAGGCACATGTGTGCTAAAATAAGAGCTACACTCTACACAGCTGGGTTTGTGGTCAATATCACTTTTTTTTTTCTTGAAGGCACTTTTTTGTACGTCTCAGAGTGGCAGAAATAATCCAACTGAAAGAAAGAAAAATTGGCAGTGAGAGCAGTTTAAACCATGCTTACTTTTATCTTCAACACAGATGCCAGTGTGTGTGCATTTCCATTTGAACATCCCAATGCCCCGGTTATCAGGGTGTGACGGAAAGGTGTTTCAGAAGCTTCTTGACCGTCTGACAAGCACTCCTGATAAATGATCCTGGCAGATTAAGTGCAGCCTTACTGAGCCACTAACATGACTGCTTAGTCATGTTCTTCTATCAGCTGACAAGGGAGCATTGAAAACTGCTCTCAAGGTGATGTCAGTTAGATCAAAATGTCTTCAAACACATTGGATGATTAGAGAAACAGCTGGTATTTGCTATGTGGACAAAAAGTATATAAATATATTATTTGTTTCTGTATATTACATGCCTATTCCACCTCTTTTTGTTTTAAAGTGTAAAACGACACCTACAGTACACTCCAACATACAAGTATTCACACAAGCAGGCACACATTTAGTGACATTTGTTTTGACTGCATGACTGTCCCCCCTACGTCTGTGTGTGTGGGAGCGTGTGTCACTATTGGCTGTTAACTATCTTGTTTTTTTCACATTTTCTCTTCTAAAGATTTTGCTGTAAGAAGTAATGCCTTGATCTTTTTCTTTCTTTCTTTTTTTACTTTTGTACACTGTGGTTTTATAAGCTGCTCTGTGCTTTATGTTTTCCTGGTTTTCATTGTCTGTCAGTGTCTAGACAGACAAGAAAGGCATTCATAACAGAGCAGGCAGACAGATGAACTGTTGAGTGATGAGGCACAAAAAAGAAAAAAGAGAGAAAGGGTCAACATCTTACCACTAACCCAGGCAGCCTGGAGAAGAGGTCAGAGCTCACCACGGATGCAGCAGACACCTCACTCTGCATTTTCTCCTCCTTTCTGCAGCGATGACCTTTCTCCAGACTCGTCTATGGTTCAGGAAGGGAAGGGAGGAGAAGGAGAGCTGCAGAGTGAGGCCCAGTCACAGCCACAGCTACAGCCGCAACCCGAACTGCAACCGCAGCCCCAACAACAGCAGCAAGAGACTCAGCCACAGACTCAGCCAGCACAGCCCCAACCACAGACTGAGCCCCAACCGCAGATTCAACCTCAACCTCAACCCCAACCCCAACCCGAAGTCAAACCTCAGCCAGAACCTGAGCCGAAAGCCCAGCCTGCACCAGAGCCCGAGCCTCAGCCGCAAGTCAAGGCTCTGAGCGAGGCGGCCCCACAGGAAGCCCCTAAAGCCCCTTCGCCTTGCCGAGAGGAGCAGACGGTTGCAGAGAAAGAGAATCAAGAGTCAGAAGAAGTTGCGGAGGCAAAGACAAAGCAAGAGGTAGAGGAGGCGCAGGCCAAGCCACGCGAGGGTGAAGCAGCACAGGAGGAAGAGGACGAGGAAGGGGGAGGAGCAAAAGGAGGTGGCCCGGGGAGGAGAGCCAGTCTGCACCACACAGCCTCGCCCTTGAGGGTGCAGCGCAACGGGGCCGGCTCGCACTCCGCCGCCTCTGACTATGAGCTCTCGCTTGACCTCAAAAATAAGCAGGTAGGGTTGTGTTGGGGTTGGGAGGGGGCGGGTTGAGTGTTGGTGTGTTGTGTTTGGGAGAGGGAGGGGGAGGGCAGGAGGTGCAGTAGCTTGGCTTGTGTGTATTGTACGTCCTGTGGTCTGACATTTTTGTGGTGTTTCGTTTTTTTTGTCTGAAGAGAAGGTCAGGTGGTTTGTGGTCAAAGCTGGTGTCTGACTTTTTAATTTTATTTTAATTTTTTAAATTTGTTCATTTATGTTTTTGTTCGTTCGATGTATTGATCCCTATTAGCGCTTATGGGCTGTCAAAAATATTTCCTTTTCTCCATTATCATAAACCATCATCATCAATGCCATGTCATCACTTCATTGACATCCTCAGTTGTCTTCATCACCAAAAGCGGATTGTTTTTTTCAAACTGTGATTTTCTGAGACTACACTAAACAGTTTTCAGGTGCAGGCTGCTTTACTATTCTAGCAAGGATGCACAATTACCCATCAAAGTCGAAGTAAAAACAATGTCACAAAATGCAAGTTTGTATTTGCATGACTCCTTTAAAATTTGTATATTTTCTAATGCTTTATATTAATCAGTGGATGGTGAAAAGCCTTAACATCTGTGGAGAATAAAAGCACATTTCATTGCAGCGAGTTAAACCGACTTTGTCCTGAACTGTAAAAAGTGACTGTTTTTCTACATGCATTTTCATGTTCTCGTGTCTATGTTCTTATCACGCTGTTCATCAGGAGCTCAGATATCATCTACATTACATAATCATCAAGAGCCATCAAACATTAATTTTCATTATCATCCATCTAAACAACATTCTTCAGTCCATCGAGCTTCGACAAGGTAAGATGGCAGGTAAGGCCCCTACCTGAGGGGCTCCTCACCGTTTTTGTGCTGGATTGATTATGTAAAAGGGCCCTCCACTGAATTTTAGATCCATTTTAGATTCAGCCTGTAAGAAAAGCACCCTTGAGGGCTGAAAAATGCATTTCCATAAACTGCTGTTTATTTACAGCCTTTCAAAGAGAGTCAGTAACTATAGATGCTGATAAAAGCATGGCCAACTTTAAAGCTAAAATAAACCTGTTTACAGCCGTATATTCTGTTGTCTCTCTAGTTAATTTTCCGTTTCACGACAATTGTACTGGGGATGGATGTTTTCATAGCTAACTTGTTAAATTATTAGGGCTTGAAGTTACTGATGCATCATTAGGGGTGTGGTCAGTGGGCTGGCTGTTGGCTAGGCTTCACCATCTGCTAAGGTGAAGTGCACTTCTCAATCAGTGTTTGTGGATCTGGTCTTTTTTTTGCGCCATTTTAACAGAGCTATATAAACAATAACTGCATTAACACACTGCACATGTGCTCCAGTTTTGGTGTGTCAAGGTGTAATGTATAAAGCAAGTAACACTGTAGAGGGATCTTGCTCACCCAGCTTCCTACTGCTAACTAGCTAAGCACTCCCTTTCTGCTAAAAGAAAACAAACAAATGAGCAAAAAAAGAGCTGCAGTAGTAGAATCTGTGTTTTGAATGTGAATCCAAATTTGAAGTTATGATTTTGAAAGAAAGCCATCCAAGACTCCTTTAAACTGCCTTGTGGAAGTTGTAATATCAAGTGTAAACTATATCCAGGCCCCCCAAATCTATTCGTTTTTCCGAGTTTCCTTTTCAAATTGCTTCCCTATATTAATGTGCAATACTAATTTCGCTGGGATCCTCTGTATTTCAAGCAGAAACTTGTCAGACTTGAGCCACTGTAATGTACTTCATGCAGGTATTTTTTCCAGGTATTCCGAGTCCCTTGGTTCAATTTGTTTCTTTTCAAGGTACACCTCGGTCCCTCAAGTCTTGACTTCTATTACTGTCCCTGTAAGTGCTGTGCGGCACGCTTGGCTGCGCTTAATCAATAACCCAGAACAATCAGTAAACATGGTCGCTCTAGTATTAAGTGTTTCTCAGAGTCAGAGCACCAGTGACACACTCTGAAAGGAAATTTGCTCACAGGTGACAGGGGAGATGTCATTTGGATTGTGTCCTTCTCTGCCAATACATATTTAAATTCGCAGAGTGAGAAGAACACACAGAAAACTGCCAGATAAGCCAGCAAAGCATTCATTCCAAGCCACTGAAACTAATATGTCTGAGCTGGATAGTTTTTCCATATTCGCTCTCTGTCAGCTCCATTTCATTCAGTTTTGATTGCATTTCCTCAGTTGTCACTTCTCTAATTGAGGCTCATGATTCTTTTAACCTTAACGTCTCCTTCTCACTTCCATTTTCTCTCTTTTAATCTTACATCTGAAGGTCCCCCTTTCCTGCGATCTCCCTGTCAACAAGGCTTGAGATACGTGATCAGCTAGATTGATCTTCTGTCTGTACAACCTGGGGTGCAGGGGGCTTGATGGATCTCCAGATCAATGTCAGAGTAATTGGATCTGTGGGGCGATACCTTGATAACTGGGGAAGGACCTCATGATGAAGAATTTGAGCATTAACTCACTTTAGTTTAGCGTTCAACCTCCAGATCCCCCTATTACTTTTTCTCTCTAAATAAGGTTAAATTTAAATACGTAATGGTTTAAATTTAAATACTAGTCAATCCATGTAATAATACATACACTTACATGGAAATGTACATTATATTTGTTTTGCTCATAGCTCACTCATATAAGATGAGCCTTTTGCGTTGCCTGCCTAAAGTTGCTGCATACCTGCAAGCCCCTTTGCAACCCTGCTCCACTCAGGCTTGGCATTTTCATGCTGTCTGACTTAATCAGTGTCATATCTGTTGTCACTGATGCTTTCTCTACACTTACACCTGCTTGTTCTGCTGTGTTACCTGGGGGGTTCTTGCTACAGCTCTGCTGGTTTCCCATGTGTGCACATAGAAGGGCGGGGAATATAGTCTCCAAACATTTTCTTTCTGCCCTTTCAGTTAATTTTTGTCAATTTAAACTCTTCTAGCTACAATCCTACTCACACACAACTGTGTGTACTTTAAGTTGCTCATAAAATGGAGAGGTCTTGAAGAAGTAAACAACTCATGCAGAATGCACAGCACTTTGTTTTATAATGAGGTGATGTGACCTTTACTTCTGCTCAGTAGCTGCTGCTAATATCTGCTTCAGCAGTTCATATTTCCCAAGAATCAAAAAGAGCACTGAAAATGGATTTGATGGGCTGCCTTCACTCATAAATACACTAAAAAGTGCAAATACATGTTATGTATCTCACAAAGCCCAGGTTAGGGTTTATAGTTGTTGTTTTTTCATTCCACAATAAGATGATCACTTTTCTTCTCTTTAAACAGCTCATGCAAAATTCAGAATTTTAGGGGGGTATTGTTCTGCAGATGTCCGCAGCAGTGGATTACATCTGATTTCGGCCATGCTGAGACTTTTTCCTTGCAGTTTTTGTTTGGCCAAGGCCCATCAGTGTAATTCTATTTTTCTATTAAATTAAGATAGTGTCTGCATTAAAATTTAGTCACCGCTGAGCTTTTTCTGTAAATGACTTTGGTCAAGGACGCATGAGCTAAAAAGATTTCCATCCTCTGATGACATCAAGACTTTTCTATTGTCATCCTCATTTACCCATACAGTCAGCATTAGTTGTGTCCCAGTTTTGCTGTTATATAATCATCTCATTAATCATGCAGATGTTTCTGCGCTGTAAGACTGTGCATGAGCATGAAAGCTAATAATCATGGTTTGAATTTCCACCCCTTATTTCTGCAGCATGTGAAAAGATCATCTGCAGTTTTGTTCACACAGCTCAGTCTGTGCCTGCACGTTTAAGGACGAAACTCGACGAATCAGTATTTTAGGGCTGTTTGATTTATAGGGACTGTAAAACAGGCAGTATTTAATCTCAGGGTGGGTAGTATTTTACAAGTCTATGACATTACTTAGCTTTGCAGGTACAGTTCAGCACATTTTGTGTTCAGAAAAAGCCGAGCTAAGCTAAACTAATATTGCCTCATAGATGAAAGGAAGCAAATAAGAGTGATTCTCAAAAACTGAGTGGATAAAAAAGAGATAAATGTTACCACTGAAAAAAGGTGTTTAGAAAGCATTTTAGTCAAAGCTGTCTTCAACGTTCTGCAGGAATGAATAAGTGAGGTTAACTAATTTTTGATTATCAAGGTAATCAGTATTCTTTAAGAAGCCTTCACATATATAGTTTTACAATTAGGTTTAAATGTCACAAGTTGAATATAGATGAGGCTTTTCTAAGAGGCCATTTGTGATAATGATACCGTAGAAGGAGGTGGAGATAGTAATCATGGCACTTGACTCTAAATGGCAACAACTGGCATTTATTTGCAACCAGTAAAAACAAAACAAAACAAAAAAGCTGTGTACTGCACCTTTAGTTGACCTTTCGGTTTTCAGACACATTTCTATGTGAAGCAGAAACTTTCAGACTTAAACATATTCCTTTTCCAAAGCCCCTGGGTATTAATATTTCATGTATAGACAGAGAAAGTATTTCAAACCAAGATATCTATCATCCCCATAGCATCTGAAGCCGAGAACCCGTCTCTGCCTCCGCAGCCCAAAAATATTTGAAATTTGCATTTTGAATTCGCACTTGTGTTTAAGTAAGATCATTATCTTAATGTGCTAAACCTCTATTAAACCCCCTGTTTGTTATGGGTCATCTTCAAGAGGATTAGAGACCGTGTCCTTGACTTCAAATATTTACATACCCCTTCTCTTCTTTTTGTTCACCTCAAAGTTCAAGTAAAATCTGTTATTGCACACTCTAATTTTATTCTGCGTATTCTGCATTGTGGCACCGCTTTGTGTTGCATAGTTTTTCTCCATGTTTGTGTGCCTCATTCAGAGGGGAACATGAGGTCAGCATGGTGCTGATCTCTCCGTCAGAATCGATTTAGAGACGTGGTGTGAGAGAGCGGTGCCATCGCCGTTTTCTCAGACCACTGTGTCTCCAGAATAATCTCTCATCAGCGCTTAGTGAAGTGATCAGAGGTAGAAGTGACAGAGGTCTAATGGGGAAGATTTTCAGCAATGCCATTCTTGACACGGTCATCTGTCTCAACACCTCTTTCTATACCTTTCTTCCAATCTTTTTTTATACACGTGTCTCCTTTTCTTTTACCACATGCATTACATTTGCAGTGGATTAGCATGCAGCCCTTTAAATGACAGCTAAGGATTTATTAACACACGAAGAAATCAGAGTTTCCTGAATATTTTGCTGCAATTGCTGACTGAGCAATAAACTGGAATTTATTAGATTCCCCAGTGCAATCGTCACCAAGTGAACCATTTTGCATCACTGTAACTGGTCTTATAGTAACATTAATGGACACAGCAGGCAGTCGCTGTGAGTTAAAAGCCCACTGCATGCTACTCTCTGCACCAGTGAGCCAACAAGCTGGCTTTGGAAGACACATCAAAAACATTTTCTCTGTGTCACGAAACTTGACTCCAAATTAAAGATGGTTTGTCCAACTGGCAGAAAGAAAAGGTTGAAGGTTTTAGACTTTTTGAATTCAAGTCATAGTTCTAAGAACTTAATATTTATGCAGTGCAGTTAAACAAGACACAAGTACCACCTACATCTATGCTCTACCTTCACATTACTACTGAGAAATAAACTTATGAGGAAGAATGTAACAGTCTGACATATGTGCAGAGCCACACCAGTACGCTTCAGTACCCATAAACCAAGCTGGACTAGTGTTAACATAGAAGGTCAAGGACAGAGTTGCTAAATCTGCAAAGGTCCATCTTCTACTGGGTCTGATGGGTCCTTAGAGATGAAATAAAACAGGTAACACAGACAGAAGCACTGTGCACTGTGTTCTGGAAACATGCACTTTGCACTTTTGACTGGACTGTCCAGTGAAAGTGGTACACAGCATTTGCAGTTCCAACACAATCCTCGTTAGAGCTGCCATCAAATCCTGTCTACTTTCCTCACTTTCTTCCTCCATCCATCATGTTCCAGCTCGTCCCAGTGGCTGTAATTCCATCTGAATGGCACAGTGTATCAGATACGCACTCTAATAACGAAAGCAACGTGACCCAAATGCTTTATTCATCATCCCCGACCCGGCTTACGCGGAAGCCAAAACAAACAAGCTCGACTGCTACATTTAATCAAATGCAGCCAAGCTGACAGCCCTTTTTTGCGCATTCAAGGGCACCCCTGCAGTGGAACTCTGCAGAATTTGTTTTGATGAGGGACACCTCTGCGAGTAACGAGGTCAATCATATTACCTCAGCGCCTGTCTTATAAAAAAAAAAGACTACACAATCTCTATTTTAGTTTCCGCACAGTCATGGTGATAACGTCTTGTCGTATTAAGAGTGCATGCAGCACAGAACAATCCAGATTAAAAAACGATGAATATTCAGGCTGAGTTCGACTGGTCTGCAGGGGATGACAGCCACTGAGAAGTCGCCATCAGCAGATACAGTAGAGCTGTGAACCAGCATCCTATTCAAACTCCACCTTAATATTCTCAGTACGTTTCACTTTGCTCACAGAGGCTCTGCAGTGAAATGTAAATGGAGTAGATAAGGTGGATTTTCAGTGTCATTCCACTATTCTAAAGAGCTTTGTATGTGATTCGGTTCCTCCAATGACAATGACAGGCTGCATCTTGCCGAATTAACCACTTATCAAAAATTGCAAACCCTACAGCCATTACAGCCTATCAGTGTTTTTTTTTTTCTTTTGCAGAAGTCTGATGGTTTGGTGACTTTGTCCAGGACTAAAAGGAAAGCAGATTAGCAGCTGAAAGTCACAATTTGATCCTTCTTAGCTGCAGTAACCATTCACTCAATTGCATTTGAATTGACAGGAAGGTTATTTTGTACGGACCAAATTTATCCTCTTGTACACATCACTCTGATATAAGAGTTCAGCTCTAAATCCGTAAGAGAATCAAAGGAGGAAAAAGCAAAGATGTGAATTCTCTCAGATGAATACTTTGCTTTTTATAAAGTACATTTTCATGCAAAATATTTTGAACATTTATGTATTCGTTGTGTCTCTTAGTGATGGACTATAACTCTTTTTTATGGAAAACAGTTTTCCACTTCTTATTTTGCATAAAATTATATTGCTGTTAAGTCATTTGACCAAGGTAGGATTTGTTTGTAGTTGAATCGAGGCAAAGAGGTAGCCTGAGTTTCTTGTTCACCCTTTCATTCACCAGTCTGGATACTAAATTGGTTCTGGTGAATCTGACGTCCCAGTTTCACAGACATGACTGAAAGGTAGCCCATCTGCAGCCGTTGACTCATAACCTCCAGTCAGGAGAATCGCTTCAGGACATCGTCCTCAGCTGTCCTTTCTGGCATGCAGCCGAACTTCAGCTACGTTCTCAGTCCTGGAAGTATTCAGTTTTGTTTAGACAAGCTTGATGGAGCGTGCAGCAGGCAGGATGTATTTGTTGTGAATCCACCAGGCGATTAGCTGCTACAATGCCGACGTGGACTCCATCAGACGTCACACGGACTTTGTTCTAGTGAAGTGACAGAGACACTTGTGTTCTCACACGCAGCTTCGTGTCTAGAAAAGTTCAGGGCTGCAGTGCATGTGTAGAAATGTCTTGAGTGGGTTTTTTTTTGTTTTTGGTTTTTTTTGAAAGAGTCACCCACTCACTCATGAGAGTAAGTGGGTGAGTCTTTCAATGTGTTTTGTAGGTGTTTCAGTCCCTGCAAGGCAAACGTTCACCATGAATGAGACTTTCACAAAAATCGTGCTAGTTCTGTTTGTAAAACGGTGGTGCTGTTCTTTCAAAGCTGAAATCTCCTCCACATTAATGCCCTTGATAAAGTAAGATGAGCAACAGAATTATATTCATTGATTTGGTGCGAATGAAAAGGACTTTGAAAGATAAGCGCTCTTTCTAGGCACTTCCAAAGATACCCACACCCTGATTGTTCTGGGAAACTCAAAGAGGTTTCATCTAGTGTTTGAGCTGCTGTCAGATGAGGAAGGCTATATTACATCTCTATCTATTTCCCACAGCATTTGAGCAATTTTTCACAGGCAAGATTAACGGCCTGTTCCGTTTCAGACAATTTAAGGTTGTGTGGAAGACTTCTCTATGGACTTCATGTAGATTATGAGCTCTGTTTGCTGAAGAAATAGCTGGATGCCATGACACAGCTATTAGTGTGGTTACAGATTCAGGATACATAACAAAACCAGCATGGAAAATACATTTACTGAACCATGACAATATTATTTAGATTTGCTGATCTTTAGTATCTAAAAAAAAGCAAAGGTATTTTTCTTTTTCCAACTAAATTAACTTATTTTTTCTTTAAATCTCCTCGTGATTAGTATTCCACCAATGCACGCCTATATGCATTGTACACTTACAAAAAAACGTCGAATTATAACAATACTCTTTTACCTATTCGCATGTATCTTGTATTCGTTGCAGTTTTAAAAATTATTATACAACTATGACTCTCATATTTGGTCTTAATAATTGCTGTCCTCACTTTTACTATCACTGACACAAAAGAAATGTTTCACCAATTTATTTTCGCTCTGTATGTCTCTTTCCATTTTCTTTAGATCGAAATGTTAGAGCACAAATACGGCGGACACCTCATCTCCCGCCGTGCTGCCTGCAAGATCCAGACTGCCTTCCGCCAGTACCAGCTCAGCAAAAACTTTGAGAAGATCCGCAATTCACTTCTGGAGAGTCGACTGCCTCGACGCATCTCCCTGCGCAAGGTCCGTGTGCAAAATACGGAGGGTTTCTCTGCTGAACGGGCGCTGGCAGAAGGCTGTAACCTGGCAGGCATCCCACTGGTACGCTCACCATCTTTGCCTGCCACGGTTGGTGGCACCCTAACTGACCTGGAAGACTCCTTCACTGAGCAGGTCCAGTCTTTAGCAAAGTCTATAGATGATGCACTCAGCAACTGGAGTCTGAAGACCATGTGTTCACTCCAAGAAGGCGGCAACTATCAGTTCAGTGCCGATTCCTTTAGCGCAGCAGCGGCAGCAGGGGTTGGAGGTGGTGGAGAAGGCGGGGGTGGGGACATGCGAGACTCTGTAATTCATCAGGGCTCCGTAGACCCAACCGACCTCTCAAGGAATGCAAGCAAGCTGATGATGGCGTTTCGAGATGTGACGGTGCAGTTTGACAGTCAGAACTTCCGCGTTTCATCTTCAGTTAGGGAATCATCCACTTCTGTCACCCTCAACAGTGGCACCCAACAAGAAGGAACCTCCAGCACTGTCACCACCACTTCCACAACAGCAAATTCTGCACCAGCCCCTATCCCACCCGGTCCTTCACAAGAACCCCCTCCTCCACCTGCAGACATCCTAGCAGAGCTCAAAGAACTCCCACCCCCACCCCAGGAGCCTCCACCACCACCAGAATCAGAGATAGAAGGCAGCGAGCAGGATGTTGAATTCCCTGCGCCACCTCCTTCTGAAGAAGAGCTTGGGGAGATGGAGCAACCTCCTCTGACCCCTCTGGATAAGATGGCATTCCCCCAAAGCCCAGAGGAGGTTGTTGTGGTGGTACCGCCACCACCAAGAGAACCAACTGTGGCCCCTCCACCACAGGAGACTATAGTGCTGGGTAGCTCTCCTGCGGTGGAGCCTTTGGATGTTAAGAGATGTGGCTCTGAGACAGCAGACTATAGCTCAGAGCAGATGAGCAGCAGCAGCACATCGACGGAGGCACGCTCAACGTCCGAGGCATCGTCCAAGGAAGCATTGCAGGCTATGATCCTCAGCCTGCCACGCTACCACTGTGAGAACCCCGCTAGCTGTAAATCACCCACTCTGTCCACAGACGTCATGAGGAAACGCCTCTACCGCATCGGCCTCAACCTCTTCAATGTGTGAGTAGCAGATTCATTCATTAGTGCTTGTAGTTCTATGGTAACAGAAATTAAAATCAGCTGCCGGTTTGTTGATGAAATCTCAGTATAATTTATAGCTTTTGAATTAGTGAACTGTTGGGTGTTGAAGTTACGTCATAGTAATATAGTTCTTTTCAGATCTGCTCAAGTTATTGCCAATATTAACACTCTGGTATTCATACTGCAACCACATTTGCAACTTCTGTTGTATTTTCCTGCGTGCCTTCATAAAGTCAGCAGAAGAAGAAAAAAAAAAAGAAAACAAAATGTGCTCTGAAAGCTTATTTATGTCTGGGGTGTTGCACCTTTTCTCTCATTCTGAATCCAGTTCCCCTCGCTGTCTAGTGAAGAGTGACAAAGTCAAAACAAGATAAAAACTTCCCAAAATGCCCTGCAGACAGGGGCAAGGTGGTTATATGGCAGTGATAGATAGAAAGAAAAAAATGTTACCAAGGTAACAGTGCAGTGCATGGGGAATGCACTTGTGTTTATGTATTAAGTAAAACAAAACAATGAACCCTGGAGATGTTTGCTTGGTGACATCCAACCACCAGTAAATTAATTACTGAAACATTTAATCATAAACAAAGTTTACATATGAAGAATTTAAGTTAAAGCTAATGTCAGCAAACCAAGGGAAATGGATATCCCATATTTAATTTGTGCGCCACTATGCAATCCCATTTTAAAATGTCTGGAACCATGTGACCCCTGTGTGCTAAGTACCCAACAGCAGACTTGGAAGGCATTAATAAATAGAGAAATGTACCATATGCTCTATTAGCCTTTCACCCAGAGCATACCCTAAAGGGCCTAAACACCCCACATATTCTAATAAATGAACTGGACTCGTGTAGCAAGCTCAGCTCAACCGCTGATTGAGTTGCTGGGTAACAGTTAGTTGGAATGCATGAAGGATGAATCCCCCAAAATAATGGCAGCGATCCACAAAGTCTAAAATTCTCATTAGTCATTCTTCTGCGAGTTGCGAATGTAATTAAAAGTTCCTTCAGCATTGTGTGAACCAGTACCTTGGGAACTGGGATGAAAAATTTGTTAACATTTCAGCCCGAGCAGGATTGGATTTTTCTCTCTGCCACCTCAGCCATTTCTGTAGAAGCTCTACACGCTTTCCAAAATATCTTGCACTGAAGGAAAATACACTCTCCTCCCTTGGGTGTGAGATTTTGTGAGGATATTCATCCAGTTAGGCCATGTCACACATATTTGCGAGATTGCAGCTCATAAACACACATTATCTTTTTTCTTATAATGCCAAGCTCTGCAGCGCCATAAATGTGCACAATAAAGCCAATTAACTTTGACTCAATGCCGGAATGAGACGATGAAAACAAGAGACGGAACGAGCTGTGCTCTTAGTGAAGAGTGAGCACAGAAGGAATACCAATGTGGGAAATATTTAATTTAGAAAGCAAAAAACGATGCTACAAATGATACTATTTAGTATTTAGATACTATTTAGTTTTATCTTTGACTTTTTGATTAACAGCAGACATCACATGAACACATTAATATTGTGATTGGTGACAAATTAAAGGAAAAACCCAATTACCTGACACTCATAGTAAAAGGGTCAAGAGGTAGTGCTAGTCTATTTAGAGGTGAGTGATCACCTTTATTATGTATTTGAAATTTTTCTATAGTGACTGGTGTCTTTTAGGATGACATTGCTCCAATGTAAAGAGAGCAAGACAACAATGCATTGTGAAAATGATTTAGATGTAGCTATGGCTTTGCAACTAAAATTGTTTTAGTTTTTTTTTGTTTTACAACTTTCTATTATGTTTCTGTTAAAACTAATACATCAATATATATCCAAATTTGATGACCATTTTTTATGATGAGAAAATCCACCTGACTATTAACATTAAAAGCCTCTGAAAAACTATTTTTCCTGAGCTACAATTTTGCTTGATTCAGTGGAAACCCGGAACCCATTCTGTGTAAACACATTTCTAATGCCAGTGCCAATGTTTTTAAAATCCTTTCTATTAATATCTATGTGTGGTACCTTGAATTAAGCAACTAAAACACCCGAAAAAGCGTCTGGAAGACTTTGGCCGACATTATTTTAAAAACAGGTGACAAAAGAATCCAACCTTTAGTCTTCTTAGCATTAAAATGCAACATGGCAGCCACCCATTGCCTCTTTGACACTTCCTGCACTGGCAAATAAATTATGCAGATTAATCCAATATAGATATAATTCCAGGTGAATAAGGCAAGCTGTTATTTATGTGTAGAAAGTGTTCCTGCTAGATCCAGTTACAATACAGGTGGGCTTTGAATGTAGGATATGCTACGTACATTTAATCCAGTTTTTCAAACATGTCTGCTTTGATAGTTTTAGTCTGACATGCATGTGGAGTGGCAGAAAAAAGACTGGATGTAGGATTTATCTGTTTGCTCAGTTGAGATACTGAGTGTTTAATGGCAGCCCCCAGTTTGATTACAAGCCTCTGTGACTTTTGAGCGCAGCTTGTGTAGCCTTTCAGTCATCGTCTTTTGATCAAACACCTCGAAAGATAAGCTGACTTTTAATAAATTGGCTGAGAGGAAAGAGAGAGATAGAATGATGAATTAGGAGCAAAAAAAAAAAAGGTAGGGAGAGGCAGGGAAATCTGGCTTGTGGCTTATTAGTTCCACCAGTTCGTATCCTTCTTCTAATACCTTTGCTGTTGTATCCTTTGCATCTTAAATAGGGCTGTTTGCTTTGGGCTAAAACTTTAGGTATTGCTTGATCATGCAGACAGAAAAGGATTACAAATATGCATCCAACTGGGTAGTCTAAACAGTGAGTGTGCACTGGTCTGTGTTTGTCTTGCAGCGGGGGGTCAATGCATCACCTTTCCAAGGGGAGCAAGAAGTGTTGGTGTAGAAAGTAAATTAAACAGAGGAAATTCCAAACATTGGTGTGTGCATGCGTGCATGCGTGCATGCGTGCATGCGTGCATGCGTGCATGCGTGCGTGTGTGTGTTTGTATGTGTGCATACTAGAATAAAAAGGCAAGACAAGTGAGTGATGGAAATGTAGTGCAAAAGCAACAGAGAGGAACTGAAAGAGACACAAAAAGGTAGTGCAGGGAAAAGCTTGAGAGAAAGACCACTTGATAAAGTTTCCACCTTGTGTGTGGCTGGAATGACAATGACTCCATTATGTGAGGAGAGTGTGTGCCAAGGACACTGCCATCACACAAGGGAGCTGGTAGAAAGTCTTCAACAGGGAAATGTGCAAAGAGGAGACAGGAGGATGTGTGACATTAATGACAGATTCCTGAGTAGATTTCTCTTTTGGATGCATGACTTCTCAGCTTAATACGGCTCAGTTAGACATGTCCTTATTTCACTTTTCCCCGCGCATACATTCTGGTGTAGTGAAAGTATTGATTGGACCTCAGAGGAGGCCCAGCTTGCATAAAAATGGAGACCCGTAACTACTTTTCAAATTGAAGAAATGGCGACATGTGAGATTTATCAGTGATGTGAAGAGTGAGCATGTGAGACAGACATATCAAGCAAGGCTAATTAACACAGCAATTCCACAAGAGGGTTTCTACCAATCAGTAGGCGAGGACTCCACAAGGGGGGGGGTCTTGTTTGTTTACTTGGGCATACACAAACCTTTCCTGTATTAACATTCTACCCTCAGTGCTAAATGACCCAGCACATAATTACAAACGCTGAAATCCAGATGGTCAAACAGAGGAAGCAGTTTTAATTTCTCACAGAACCCAACACCTTTTACCCTCATTTGCTCCCAATATTTAGAGAATAAGACAGGCCATACTGCTTTTTAAAAAAAACTGTGAACCTATTTCATTAAAACAAAAAATGCTTTGTAACAAATGCTTTCAAATGCTTTCTCTTAAATAGATAAATAAACACAACGTGTCATCTGTGTGTGTATATGTTGTAAAAAGTAGTAAACTTGTGCTTTAACAACCAACCAACCTAAGGACGGTAAAAGCAGGCATGTGACTGCAAAAGCTCTGCAAAAGCATGCTTGATGGACACGAGCAGTTTGGTGCAACAGTGGGTCCTTGTTAATGATTTGGGGTTTTGAAGCGTTTACAGGTACAACACACAATCGTGTTTCCACTCAGAGAAATGCACAGGGGTGCTAACCGGCCATCAACCTGTCACTGGTTAGTAATGGAACAGAAATCTGTGCATCTGGAGAAATAGGCAACATGCAGTGCTGACACTTAAGCTCTTGTAGGGCCCATAAAACACAGTTTTGACAGCACATCTGTCCATTAGCAATAAAATAGAGGGCCAATAAAAGAGGGTATCAAGGTGGTAAGGGAGAGGTGTATTTATGGCGAGGTCGTACTACACCGAGATGTTGCAAAATAAAAATAAATAAATAAATAAAAACTATGTCTGCTCTGAGGAGGCAAGGGGGAAAGACGCCTGGGAATGTAGCACTATATTTAGAAGTTGTTGTTTTAGCATGACATCTGGGTCCTGTCTGGCACTTACTCTTCCCTTCCCCATGCTTTACACGGGTGTGGGTCAATTTGCTGTGTGTATGTTGTGCTCTTGCTCTTCTTTTACAGTTTTTTTTTTTGTCACGCCTAAACTTTGTAAGAAAACGGTTTCTGTTCTTAGCTGTGAATAACATCCGGCACCATCTTGCAAAAATCCTCAAATAAAATACTGACCCATATAATCTTAAAAAAAAATTGCATCTTTGCTCTTAAGGCTCAGATTTGATAAGGGAACATTCTGGAAAAGAAAATAAATTGCAAAACACTCCACAGCATGATGAAAGGATGAAAAAGCAAGAGTGAATCAACAGTGCTTTCACGATCTAAACTTAATGAGTTTACCTGTGCAGCAAAACCCTTGACCAAAAGCATAGTGCTTGCAAAGATTCTTTAATATTTCTTTTTAAATAAAACTGCTCTTTGGACAAGTTGATGTCTGCAGGCTTATTCTGCACTGCTAATCCAAAT